GGCCAAAAATATATATGATGTAAGGGTCGGCTGGGACTGTTATCCATGATCTTCTCATGGGCAGCCCAGCACTTTCCCATTTGATGTTAGTGTGTAATATGTAATTGGCAAGAGCATGGTTGAAATCTTAGTTGCCTCAGTAATTGCTTGGTCTTATGCGTCGAGATAGTCCTGCATCCGTTAAAAACCGTCAAAGCTGGTCGTTGGCTTTAGGCCAACGACCCTCAAATGGTTAAGTCAGTAAAAGCAATGAATCTATCTTGAAACGGAAATGTTTACTTTACACTGAATACGTCACAACATTCTTTCAGCGGAATGACAACAGTATGATCCCACGGAGGACCCCAAAATATATTGAACTAAAGCTCACGGCTAAGATAAGTTACAAAAATGATTTGAAGGAAAATGCAAAGATTATTAATTATTGAGGATTTAGCAATCCAAAATACCAAGTCTATAAATGACATAAGATTTGCATGTTAAAATTGCAGTTCTGCCAGGGGTCAAATTAGAAAGTAAGACACGACCTCAAAGTGACGTACAGACTGACCATGACGCTTTGACAGATCCATCGTACCCAATACGTCATGGACTTCTAATTGAACTTACGAGGACGTGCGACGTATCAAAGAGACTTACCTGGCACCTCATTTGGTTTCCTGCACTTAAAACGTCGTTAGGATTGGTCGTTGGCCTTAAGCCAACGGCCCTCCGACGATTAAGTTAGTGATTGTTTTCAGGTAAAGGAAAGCAATGAATTTAGCACGTGTATACAAAATTAAACACATATCTTACATTAGAACACGTCTATCGCCAGACAATATGCCCCCCATCAGATGATTAAAATTGTCTCGTTACCAAGGTGACTCGTCATATAAGTGACTTGTCGCGAGGAGGCTCACCGCGAAAGTGACCCATCACAGAAGTGACTCGTCACAGAAATGACTCATCACGGAAATGACTCATCATGAAAGTGATTCGTCATGAAAGTGATTCGTCACAGAAGTGAGTCATCACAGAAGTGATTCGTCATTGAAATGATGACAATATGCAAAAGAAAGCAATAAACTGAAAATGAAACAACTTTAAGGGTACCGTGTTGCAGCACTTTAGAATCTGTCTATCATCGGAAGATATGCCCCCCGTCCGAGATTTCAATCACCTTGTCTTGTTCATCTCGTCATGGAATGACGACTCGTTGCTTAGGTCTTGAATAAGGTTTCCCAAACTTGTAATCATGTCTCTCAGGAGATTCTGATTTCCCGTGCCCCCAATCATGCTCAACATGTCCAAGATGGGATCGTAAGTCTTCTTCTAGGCGGATGAAAGCCAATGCCTTTGCTTGGACATCTTCGAAGGATCGAAGAGGGCATTTCGTCAGTTCACGGTACAGCTCTGAATCGTCGATCAAACCTCTTCGGAATGCCTCAATTGCCGTTGGTATGTCACACCTTGGAATCGACACTTTTTCTTTGTTGAAACGATGAAGATAATCCCTCAATGATTCGCCTCGTCGCTGAACAACTCTGTATAGATCACCTATTTGTTTCTCCAAAACGCGACTACTTGCGAATTGCTGGTTAAACAAGTCGACGAGCTCAGCAAATGAATTGATAGCCTCATTTGGCAAGTTGACGAACCAGGTTAAGGCCGGTCCTGAAAGTGTCGCTCCAAATCCTATGCACATGCATGCTTCCCTTTGGTCTGGTCGAAGTGATACGGCCAACATGTGTTGTTTGTATTGGGCAACATGTTCCACCGGGTCGGACGTACCATCGAACATCTTCATGGAAGGGGCGACGAACTTCCTGTGTATCTCGACTTCAGTAATCCGTCTGCTGAATGGAGACTCTGCGTAACACGTTCTCGATGCTCTGTCCAAGGGTGGGGGTACCCATGGCAATCCGTTGATCTTATCTTGCATCTGACGCATTTGTTCCATCATCGTGGACATTTGATCTGCTATGACCGGGTGAATTGACAATGGAGTTGAAGTCGCTGGTCCGACCATTTGGGTGACTTCAGGTCGGGTCGGTGACGGAATGAATATTATCTCAGGGCGCCGTTCAGGTATTGTCGGCGCTGATGTAATGACAGGTCTGCCAAGGCGTTGCGTCTGAGGTTCCAGAAATGACACACTAGGCCCGTTACATCTGGCATCCTGCATGAAGCTTGACGGATCAGCGTCTCCGTAAGTTTTGCTTTGGTAACGAGGAACCGACGGTTCCGTCGGGACATGAGTCGCACCAGTTGACGGATTAGAGTTGGACGGACCGGGATTTCCACAGGTTGTGCTCCTATAGTGGGGAATTGATGGTTCCGTCGGGATGGAATGCAGATTCGTCGCCGGCATGCTTTGAGTTGCTGCCTGCAAGCCTGACCCGTTCGATCTGACCCGAAGGGTTTCCGGGAAGAAACAAACTGGTATGTTGGCTGGTGGCGTCGTCTCTGGCACGAGTGGCGTATATGGGATGACTTGCGATATGACCGTCGAGTATGGCTCTCCAGTCGGCGTTGGCGACAGACCCAGCGTAAGAGATACTGGATCCGTCGATGCCGCGAGTGGAGTCGTCGATGGCGGGGAGACTCCGAGATCCAACCTAGTGGCAGCATTCATAAGGCCAGTTCTCCGGTTGGGCCTTGAATTCGAGGCTATTGACACTGCGGATTGTACCTGGGACCGAAGTACATCGTTCTCCCCGCTGAAGAAGGGCCATTCTCTCCGCCATCTCACGCCGAATCTCCTCTCGGACTGTCTCCAATTGTTGATGGAATTCAATCAACAATTGATTTGTTCCTGCCATATCTAAACTCTTTCTTGCACGATGCCCCACGGTGGGCGCCAAATTGTTTAAGCAAAATATTGATAAGCTAAAACTAATTAAAAAGGAATTCGTATAAAGAAAGGGCTTCGAACAAGAATAGAGAAGGAGATGACAAGAGAGTGAACAAGAAGGAAAACTTGAATATTATTCGAATGTTTTCGCTTCCTTGATTACAATGAGGCTATTCTATTTATAGGAAAAGCAATTAAAGCTCTAATGATGGTTTTTCCGTTATTGACGGATTGGCCATCCGTTACGTACTGACGGATTCAAATCCGTCATAAAGGCTGGTCAAACACATTTAATACCCTCCTTAATCACATTAAGGAGCCTAATAATGTACAAAAAACGTTACAATATTTAAAAATGATATTCTTGACGCTTCAGTGACTCAATTTGTCTGTTTTGACGGTTTGACGTAACGGTTCTGACCCGTCGTCGGTTTCGCAACTCGTCATCAATGCTGGCCAGCTCAAAATAAGTAACCTCCAGCCTTAATATCGTTGATAACTCCAGTAATAAGCACAAATCCGTTACAACAGCCATCATTAAGCCTCTTTAACTTTTGTGATCAACTCTCTTTAATGCAAAATATATTGCCAAATAATTGCACTAACAGTAGTAGCGGTATCTGGCTTCTTGTTTATTTCAAATTGGAAACCTATTCCAATGAAAATGGTCTTGTTTGGCAATGAGCTCTTAGCTCTAGCTAGATGGTTATCAAAGTGATTGCGTTGTTTTTATTAACGGGTTATATGTTAGGTTTTGTCATCAATTGTTTGATAAAATCAACTGTTTAAGATAACGGTTAGTGTAAAAGAGGTATAAGAACATTAGTATAACTATCATATCTTTACTATCAAATCGTTACTCAACCACAACAAAACTCAGGAACATTAATCAAGTCAATAATAGAAAATAAAAATGAAGATCAAAACTGGTAGAATTATTGGGGAATTAGTGGTTTAACTTTCAGTTTAAAAGAAGGGTGTTAAAGCATTTGTCCAACCCCGGAAAGCTATAAAACAATTAAACACTATATAAGGCTTTGGGCTACTCCTCCTATCAGGTTGACCTTTTAGGATGGAACCCCGAGTCTTAACATGGTATCAGAGCCAATTCCAGTTGTGGTTTGACGGCTTGTTTGGCACTCATGATTAAGGGTAGCTTGTTAAGGGTTTGTTTGACCCGTTTATACACCCCGATATTGTCCAGCCCGGTTCGGGCTGAGGGGCGTGTTAAAGCATTTGTCCCACACCGGAAAGCTATAAAATAATCAAACACTATAGAAGGCTTTGAGCTACTCCTCCTGTCAGATTGACCTTTTAGGATGGAACCCCGAATCTTAACAAAGGGCAAAAGATTTTCTTCTCCTAAAGCAGGGGCTTGTATCACCAGTAACTCCCAATTTCTGTCATTCCATTTTCCGTTTGTCACTATCTTCAATTATCTAAGGAGACGAGGAAGCCATTTTTTGTGTTTTATTCTCTTTCATGATTTTCATGCATTAACAACTTGATTATCCCCAACGGCCCAACCTCTGATTCTAGCTTTGTTTAACCCTGTTTTTAGAACATCACGGCCCATTGCTTTTGGAAGTAGGAACGAACTGATTTTTCGATTTTTGTATACACAATCTGCTTTGGAACAAATTACTCTTGGTTGGGGATAGTTACTGTAAAACGATAGGAGATAGAAACAACCAAACTAATATTAAAATTAATAAACACACATATCTGAAAAATTCCAGATGCTAATGGCCGAAGAAACTCTAGATTTTAATGGCTAAAGAGGTATGAGGGATGCGTTATTATAGGGAGGACATAAAAGGTAGACCAGTGAACAACTAAACTCAAATGCTGCACCGGTGCACCTCCTAGGGTTTTGTTTTTAAGCTGGTTGAGTCCAATAAGCTAAATCAAGCATCCCTTTACCAAATAATCATTTTAGCTCGTTAGATGGTCAAAAGCATTAACTTTATACAGACTATATTGCAAAGATTGACCAAATAGAATTAAAACTGTACACACTTTCTTCCATAGGATTTTATCACTATATTGTTTGTTTTCAGTAATCCTCTTAACCAAATCATATCTTTTGGATAAAGCAAAAACGCTTCAAGTATATTTCAATTTACTAATTACATTTTGTTTTGTCCTTTTATTATTACGTAAGGCTAAGGCTGTTGTAGAGGCATCTGCAGCCTTCCCGGTTGCCATAAATCTGCAAGAAATCAAACTTAATGGGTTCAATTTTGGTTATCGGAACCATCTTACCTTTTCTGTACAACTGCTTAAAAAATCCCCCAATTTAAGCGTGCTGGAGATTAATGCGGCAAAAGGTGGTAATGAAGCTGTTTCAACACTTTCGGAGGGTGGTTTCTTCACTAGGGGTGATCTGAAGATCCTTAAAAGGGTGAAGATCAAAGGGTTTAGAGGAATGGAAGTTGAACTGCGTTTTGTGAAATCACTAATCTCAACATCACCTTCAATTGAGAATGTTATTATTCGTGAAGCTGAAAATATCAATGCCTCTCTTGCTTTCGAGGCTACAAAGAAGCTATTGAGCTTTCCTCGCGCATCTCCCATAGCACAGCTTATCTACAAGGGGTACAAACCCTAGGTCCCCAGCTAGCTAGCTATGGCTGCTATGCTTTGCATTGGAGGGCATACTAGTTCAATTGTGATAGTGATATGGTCATATTGTGTGCAGTGTGCATACATCCATGCATGCATAGTAGTAAGGAGTACTTCTATTCGCATTTGGCTAGTATGGTAATGTACAAGTATGCATTTGTGAAAGTTTTGCTCCATATGTAAGTATCGGAATTGAACCTAGATATCTAAATTAAATCCCATATATAAGTATGCACTTATGCGTATTAGCTCATTGAATTGATTAAGTGGATCTTTATCAATCAATTATGCTCTGTCATTTATTTTTAATTTAATATTTTGATGAAAACGGTTAGCAACACAAGAGGGGGGGTGAATTGTGTGTGTGTGGAACCGTGGCAGTTTTTCGCCAAGTTCTAGTGTGGGATAAAGGGAATTGCAAGATAGTAAAGTGCACAAGAATTTAACGAGGAAAAATCCCTTGGCTCAAAGGGATTAAAAAACCTCGACCTCTCTCGGAGGAATTTTAAACAACTTCACTAAACAAGCCTTTGAAAGAGTTACAAGAGTGATTCTCCTAATCTACCCTTGAGCCTCCCCAACTCTATCCTCTCTAGGAAGAGTTATGCATTTCTACCTTGCGGGTAGAGAGCCTCTCAGCTTTATCACAAAGCTCTCACACACACTTAACCCGAGGCAGCTACTCTAGCCAATTAAGCCTCAATATTCCAAGTACAATATGAAAGGGAAAAGAAAAAACTCTATCTAGAACTCCGTGTAGGCAGTTTCAGGCACTATGGACTTGATCTTTTCTCTTGAGTGATTATTCTTTTTAATCTCTTTCTGCTCGAACACTCTTCAATGTACCACCATCTTGTGTATATATATAGCTCTCCTTTTGATAAACGTTGGCTCCTTTCCTTGCTATGCTGAATTTTGAATTCCTTTCCTTATTTATCACTTATCATTTTTGGAGCTAAAAACATTCGTTAGTCATAATCAAAAGACTTCAAGCATTTTTGAATTATCGAGCACGCTTATTATGGAGAGTAACTTATTCAGCAACCTAAAGAATGGTACCAATTTACTTGCCTTTTGTGAGATTAATCGGGTCATATTTAGACACCACTATTCAAAATATCTAATCAAATGATTAATTACTAAAGGCTGATTATGGTAAGCAATTAGGCCATGATTGGTCAACCCACATGCTTAGGCAATCAACCGAAAATATCCCATTTGATATAATTAGTAAGAAAACCCTTTTATATGTCTATATAACATGATCTGGTCAACTAATGTAAAGGTGGCAAGAATATTCGAGTATTTTATCAAAGGAAACTTTCCTTTTACTAAGGATCACTACTTTTCCAAACCCAAGAAAAGACTACAGTCACAAACCCTTTATGACCAAGGATTCTTCCCATAAAAACTTAATTAATAAAAGGTTAATTTATAAAGGACAATATATTTATGCAAGCCGAAATCGTAAGCTCAGAACGCATACGAGTTCCATCTGTAGTTCAGTTAAGAACTCGTATTAGTACACCTGCATGGTTAGTGAAATAATAGTTCTATCCTTTGCTTATCATGAACCTGGAGCGGTTCTCTTCCTATATGGTTAGTCATCAACAAAACCATATATTCAACATATTTTACATTTACAAGTAATACCAAGCTAATGCATAGATTAATTGCGCTTAGCTTCTGATCATTCTTTTATGTAACTTTGGTGCAAAAGTATTTACTTCTTATCAAAACATATAGGATTAGAATGCAAAAGAGAGCTTAATTATTTCTAGTGTGTTCAAGCTATGTTGTGAATACCGTTGTTGCTTCTACTTATAATCTCTCTGCTTGGTTACAGGTAGGGCTGTTAACGAGCCGAGCTGAGCCCGAACATCCAAAGCTCGAGTTCGGCTCAATAAAGAATTAGTAGTGTTAGTCGGTTGTATGTACGATGAGAACCGTACAATCGGTGGCATGTGGGAGTGCCTATACCATATAGTCGGTTGTACGATGAGAACCGTACAATCGGTGCCATTTTGGTAATTTAAATGAAATTCATGTCTTCTGCTAAATGAGCATTAATGAATATTTAGTGCACATCAGACATATTGTGTTGAGCATTAGAAGCCGAACGATGAACATCGTGATCTCTGCTTCATATCTTCAAATTCACTTTGTTTTTCTTATTTTATCTTTTATAAAAGCTGATTATATTATATTTATAATCAACTCTAATGAACTTCAATATGCGAATCTAATGTAATATGATACTGTTGAAATATGCATTGATAATATTTAAAAAATGAGCATAACATGAGTACTAATTGAGCATACATAACTAACAAAATGAGTATTAGTACAAAATGCGCATTGATATGAAAATAATAGGTTTTATTAGTTCAACATTAAAACATTTTCATTGAGTATCAAATCTCCTCTATTGAGTATTAGAAACATGAAATTGAGTATCATGATCTATAGTCTCAGGTCTATTGACGTGCACTTTGTCGTGGTGTGCACTTCAAAATAAATATTCAATACAACACTAATACGTAGTATAGTGTAGTAAGGTTTGTATCCACAGGGAAAGGAACACTTCTCTTTTTATAGAAAAAGATAACTAACAACAGGGGGTTTTTATGTTTGGTTGATGAACTTAAATTATCTTTAAACACGAATATAAACGAGTTATGTGGTTTAATTAATGAGAAGGAGACTTGGCTTTGCTTTTATCCACTTAATGAAATGTTCGTCGATCCTGGTTATATCTTTAACTATCTTCCTCTCGAATACTCAATCGAGGAGTATATCCAGTTCATCGAGGGTAGTTATTAATAACGAGATACGTTCATTAATAAAACTTACTATCGAGTCAATATAGAACAAACGCCGTATATTAACTTGATAGTAGCAATAAACTTAAGATGAAAACGATTGAGATTGATAACACAAGCGGTTTATTGGTTTAATCAATATAATTAATTCCTCTTGGCTTATTAACCATGAGAAGCATGCATTAAAAATCCAAGTTTACTACCATTGAAAGAACCGAATTAATAACAAGCGTATTAACCGATTGATTCTAGTAATAATTAATATATGAAACAAAACTAATTGATCCTTAAAGTAATGCTCAAAATATTAATATGGAATATGAATAGGAAGTAATTAATATTCAAGGAAGAAGATTAAAGAAAATAACTCACAACTTACAAATCATTAAGCTTCAAAGTAGCAAAACCAAGATGGAAGAGTTTAGCTCCTCATTTGGAGACTAAACATGAGAAAAAATATAAAGAAAGAACTTGTCTAAACTGAGCTAAGAAGTATATGTGAATTGGTGGTTTATTGTGGAGGAAATGAGGTGTATTTATAGGCTTTTTAGGCTTGCAGGGACGTGTACCCGATCGGGCTATAAGGGCAATCGATCGGGTACTCGGTTGCTTCGCAGAATTGTAAAAAACCTGGGACATACCCGATCAAGTATGTCGGCCACCCGATCGGGTATAGACACTCGATCGTGTTCAAAATCTCCCCTGCATGTTGCCTTGTTCCCGGGTTGATCCGATTTGATTTTTCAGCGACTTACCCGATCGAGTATAGGGCATACTCGACCGGGTACAATACCAAAAATCAGAATCTACATTTTTTCTTGGAATCTTTGCACCTTCCCTCCACTTGTGATGTTCACCAATGGTCCTTAGAGTGCTCTTGGACCTGTATGAGCTCAGAATAAACCTAATCTAAACAATTTACAAACATTTTACAAACTAAACTTTTACACCAAAAGTGTGTAATTTCCAAAGTAACAATCACTCTAAACTAATTAAAAACACAAAAGTAAACATGGAAATTACATGAATGTCAACTCCCCCAAACTTAGTTTCTTTACTCGACCTCGAGTGAAACCAAATGTTTGTACAATGTTCAACCAAAGATTATAAGTTTTAAGAATAATAAGAAAGAACACAAGACCACCAAGGTTGTAAATGAGTTCATAAAACAACATTTTCTTGGGTTTGTTGGTCCTCTATGCTCTTTGTTTCTTCTTCTTCTTGCTTCTTCTTCTTCTTTTTCTTCTTTTCCTTTTCTCCAAGAGATCATGTCCTGCAAAACACAAATTTTTCTCTCATATCTCTCATTTTGCCTAGGAGCCTTTTCAGGTTTTCATCCTAGCATCTCTTTTCTTTTTCTTTCCTTCCCACTCACTCATCATTTTTTTTCCGTAAGCCCTTGTTGCTTAGATTGCCCTTTTGGGTTTTCAACCTAACTAGCATTTCATTTCTTTTATTATTATAATTTTTTTTTTGTGTACAACTAATACAAGAAAATAATGCTTAGTACAAGGTAAAAACAAAGGAGTGTACATACCAAGAGATGAATCTTCCTCCCCCACACTTGAATCATGGCACTATCCCTAGTGCCTGCCTTCTCTACCATAAAAGCTTCCTCCAAAGCCGCTCCCGTGTACATCATCACCGCCTCCTTCTCCCATGGTAGTGTCCCCGCCATTGTAACCACCACCACCACCGGAACTAGAGCCACCAAAATTACCCCAATCGGAGGGGTTATACCAAGAAGGTGCCGGTGGTGGTGAGGCCATAGATGCAAATCCGCCAAGGTGGGACATGTATGAGTATGTGGGCCCATACATCATCCGGTAGTCCTCTTCATACCTTTGCATGTCGGCCGCCCGTTGTTCCTCCATCCTTTGGAATGCCGATTGTTGTTCCGCCAGGTATGCATCAAATTGCCGGTCCTTTTCTTGTTGCTCCTCCCGGTAGTGGCCTATCGCTTCTTGAAGTTGGGCAAATTGCCCTCCCATCTTTGTGTAATCGAGGCTCATTGTTTGGAAACCGGCTAGGAGGGATTGTTGACCCGCCAAGAGCTGTTGGAAGAAGTCTTGTGGTGGCAGGTTTTGGGGAAGGTCGGGGATATCATGTTGGACATGTTCATGTCCCTCTTGGTGCTCGGGTTGCTCCGGTTGGGGGTTGGGTTGCTCGGCTTGGTCGGCTTGAGGTTGGAGGTGTGGTGGAATGTTGTTGGGGAGGAGGTAGTGTGGAATGTGGAAGGGCTCCATCTTATACCTAAGTCTAGGTAATTCGTCGCAAGGGAGGGGAAAGTATTTGATAGGTTCGGGGTACTTCATGTGCCATTTGTAGCGTTGGGTTCCGTTGTGGTCTTTATTACCCAAAGAGATCAAGCCCGCATTGGATAACCATCCAATATGCATCAATGAATCTCTAGAAATTGGGGCATGATCTACATAGCCAAATTTGGAAGCTAAATGCATGATGACCCCTCCTAGGACAATGTTCCCCCCTTTTGTGATAGCCATCTCTAGATGATCCCAAATTAAGTTG